AGTGATTATCATGAATTTACAATAATGCCAAAATGGGTGCTTATTTTCAAGTCATTAGTGAAGCAACGAGACTACGATACCACCCATTAATCAAAACGATTAAGATACCCTTAGACATAAATATGCACAAGTTAATAAACTCTCCCATTTTGTACAGTTTTAGCAAAGCAATCTTAGCTGATGCACTTTTTTGTGTGAATTCATTCACACACAGATATGAATACTAGGCAAGCTGCAAGTTGAGAAAGCATTGGCTTCAGTCTCTGAGGTTTCCATCCACTTTCTTGTCCTTGGAACTCAGACCTCAAATCTGTTCTCTTGCACAAAATAAAGCATCTCGCTCCACACGAACCTATCTTTTTCCCTTCATCCAGAGCTGTAAAACATGAAATGCCTCAGATGAAGGTTCTCTCTAAAATCAGATATGAGTTTTAGGATTCATATGAAATGAGGGTTAAAACTTAATCCTCATATTCTGGTCAAAGTCCAAGCAAAGCATTTACTTTTAACTCATCAATGATTTGAACAAAAAATCAAATTTGCCTACATTTCTTAGAGAAGTGGCAAGCTTTAAATTAAGAGTGAGTATACTATGCTCTCTTAGGATCATACTATACATTTATTCCCTCGGGCAAAACACCTAGAAAACTATAGTCAGAGGGAGGGAGGAGATATAATAAAAACATCTCATACTATAGTCCACAGGTTGTAGAGCCCGTAGAAGGCAAATTTACATAGGAACCCCTAGAGAAGTGCCCTAAAACTTTCACATACGGTAGCAAGTGACCAAAACACCTAAACTTTAGAATTTGTATCAATTCGGCACCATTAATAGTGTGGAACACCATTTAGAAGTTAAACTTGTGCTACCATGGAAATTGGCTAAACAATCTGCAAAAATGGTGAGTTTTCCTAAACCCTCTGGAGATAGGATCTACGCTTCGGATAAATGTTTTTCTAAATTATATATTTACCATTTATCTTCAAAAAAGTATTTTAGAGAACATCTTTCCAAAGGGTTAGAAGGTGACACTCATACTTCCAAATTTGAAGCGCCAATTGATCAAAGAGACTAGGCACATCCAAACATTGGAGTAACTGAACCGTTCTATAGAAGAGAGCACATCCCGACATTGGAGTAACTGAACCGTTCTATAAATGAGGGTTATCTGGATCATGAAAGAAGCTTTCTCGAGATTTCAGGATCTACAATCTAATGATATTGCTCATCAAAATTTGGTTGTATCAAGGGTTCTCCATCCATCATCTTCCTTCATGTGCAACTACCATCTCTCTCTTTCAAAATAAAATTTAGTGATCTGAGACTTGAGGAAATTTAGTTACCTCCTAAGCTAGCATGTGAAGAGTAAAGCTCCATGTGGGAAGAGTTCGAACCCAAGCAAGGGAGGCGTCCCTCGCGCGCGTAGAGTTTGATAGCCGCTTTTATCACACTCCCCACTCTCTCTTCCTCATTCACCACCATCCGAAGGGGCCCTGCGCTCCCCACCACACTCACCCTTATCAACAACTTCTTTCCCTCCTCTCCACCACCCTGCAACCAAAGCCTTTTATTACTTCTTTCCCACAGAGAGAGAGAGAGAGAGAGAGAGAGAGAGAGAGAGAGAGAGAGAGAGAGAGAGAGAGAGAGTAGTGGTTAGTACGTTGTTGTCGTCGTAGGTAGACGAGAGAGTACGAACGTAAGTAGTAGACGTACGTACGTACGTAGTAGGAGGA